TGCGCAAGGTACTGACAGATATACCAGTAGCATCGCTGGCTTTTTTGAGTGCACTGTATGTGCTGTCGGAAATAGTACACATGTACTGAATGACATTGTAGGCAACCTCACGTGTTTGTGAAGGAATGACTTGACCCCGTTTACCCAATTTAGAGTGCGACATGATAAGTTTCAAATACCTGCAGAGTTTGATACTCTTTTAACAGTCCACTTTACAAGATACTAGTATACACATGCTCGAGCAGAAACACGACATTTCCGAATCATTGCGCAGAAAGTGATTACTGCAAGGATCACAAAAATCGCGTGCCCGAAGTTTTCACACCTGTTCCCCCTTCGAGTAGGTAGTGGATCAGTTCACGACACGCTCCCAGCTCTCCTTTAGCAAACGCGTCTTTCGCGCACCTCATTCTAATGTCGGTTGGACAGTAGGAATATTTGTTTGTATCTGTTACATGAACAAAGTCGTTGGTGTAGAAGTGATAGAGTGTGAACATTTTTCAAACTCTGTGAACTGTACAATACAAGCAATTGAAATATGTTTTAGTTGTTTGACAAATAACACCATTTATTCACAACTATGAATAATGTCTTAGCTTTGTTAAGAAAGAGAACAAAGATAAGATACAATTTAGACAGCAGACTTAAAGAGTTTTTTTCAGTGATTCTGAATTCTGATATAAATTACATTGAATTGTTTGTGAAAGAATTGGTGTGAAAACACAACTTCCCAAAGGAAACTTCAGTTTGAAATGTATTTTAAGGTGTGCTGAACATGTTTGACTGTACCATCTTCAACATGAAATGCTGAAATTTATGAGATCAACAGCTCTTTAAGTGTGTGTGTGATAGTAACACATGTTTTAATGAATTTATTACTATTTGTAGTCACGATATGGCTGAAATACTGCCACTGCGACTGTAAACTTTAACTCACTCACTCGCCTCATTAAACTGGTATCAGGATGTATCTTCTCTCCACTTAGACTACGAAGCACAGCTCTTCACATCAGTAATACATTGTCATCATCTTTTTCGAAAGTATAGATAATGAAATTTGTGCAGCTCTGTGAACACACCTGTCTGTGTTTTATTGCAATAAGCTGTCTCTCCTTGTATGTCATATATAAGAAGTGTACCTAAGGTAAATTATTTAAACTATAATGTAATTTCCATTACAAAAAAAGTATAAACGGTATTACCTACTGATCAGAAAGGCTTATCAGTACCCCACCACCCACCCTAGGCCTACCCCACTTACACCCTCTCCCTCTCACACACACACATGCACACACACACTCCCTAACATGCATATCGCTCCGGCCCTAGACCCAATATTATTACCTTTTAAACAGACATCATGTGTATGTCAAGAAAGGCAGGCACGTTAATAGTGGTGCTCAGTCATGGGTATCACTTCGCCATGTGTTTCTAATGAACTCCGTGCATTATGGCGTGGTCCGACGCGCTAACGAACCCGATGTGACAGTTACATTACAGAACCATTGAAATACATGTTAAAGTAGTGTTAATCTTGTAACACTATATGTATCCATTACCAACCATTTACGCGTGTACGAAATATATGACAAACCTAACCCTGGTCATACGAGATTTCAAAGGTATTGAAATGCATGTCCTAAATTCACAACATTTACATACGTTACGCATGCTAGAAAACACATGAAAATAATGGCCAGATTTACACACCTCTGAAATACAAGTAAATATAGACTTGAGTGTTCATTTATTTTAACACCCCTTTAAACGTGTGTAAATCTGACAGCCAGATGATACGTAGATTTCAAACGTTGTCCTTGTGGTCCCAAGTATGGTGATCAACCTTCAGTTGCTGGCGATCCATAGACCGTTTGTATATTGTGTTGTTATCAATAGTGAAATATTGACTCAGACTCAGACGTTTCTCCCCGTACAGTGCTCCCAAGAAAGAAGACTTGACTTTCAAGTGAGCCTTCTTTGATCAGTTGTTAGGGGTGTTCGCTCACTCACCCACACCCACACCATGCACTGCCAAAGGTGTCTCAGTTGGACATTAGCTTGACGTTCATGTCAAACAAAGTCTGTTGGCAACATGATTATTTTGTCCGGGGCGACACAACACGTGGCCGTCGAACATGGAAGATATGAGCTGCATGTGGACGATTTGTAATCATGTGAACCGTAACGTGTAACCCCATAGCATTGTGAACGTCTGCAGCAATTTGAATCGCCGTGTCGACTCCATTTGGTACAGCCTGGTTTCGGACCAATCGATCCTGTGCTCTTGTCACTGATCTGGGACGACACGTACACGTAATATTATAATAGTCATAAAACCCGTTTTAGTATAGTTCACTTAAAATAATGAAAGTTTGGTATTTAAATCGATTGTTTTGTTTTTGAAATGTTGTCCGTTTCATCCATACGCTATAACATGACGAGGAGAAGACCTTCGTTGGGACTGAGATGGAATACAGGGGTGATGCATGTAGCTGACTTGTCATTGAAGACAATCGAGCGTCAGCTTGGTTACTGCCACTCTGCCATCAGTGGACATATCCAGAAACATCAACAATCAGGCGCTGTCAAGGATCGACTAATGCAAGAGCAACCCAGGAATACCAACCCAGGGTCTTTTCCATTACGCGAGGCGTGAACCCTTCGCCAAAAGCACTCGTTTGAATAAACTCTGGGTGGCCAAAAGACGTTTGTCAATCAAGACCGTGTGTAACAGTCTCAAGGCTTTTGGTTTGAGGTCCCGGAGAGTCATCAGACTTCCAACTCTGAACGGATCCCTGATCTGAAGCCCATGGAGCTCATCTGGGACATTGGTAGTCCTCGTTTGCAAGCAAGAGTCACAATATGTTGGTAAATAGGATTCAGCATTGCATGAGGAGTGTGGCAATTGTCTCGGGAACGTATCCGCAGGCTCACTGGTTGCACAAGGAGGCGGAGGCTGTCACCCAGACACGTGGCGGATACACGGGATACTGATGTCAAACACCTTGGCAGATTTCAGGGAGCCTATACAGACAATGACATGCGGCACTATCTCATCATGTGTCATGCCAGGTTAATACTTTTTTATTAGTAGTATAGGATATTTATATAGCGCACATATCCACGCAACTAGTGCATGCTCAAGGCGCTGGTATTTTTTCCCTCGATGACTGGATGTCAATCTCAACGGCACATCGTATTATCAATCTCAACTCCCAGGGGAGTATACACTCTTGCAGCCACTAGGCGCACAGAGTTATTGTGGCTTTCTCATCCTGACGGGTACCCATTCACAGCTGGATGGACTGGAACACATAGTCACAGTACTTTGTCCAAGTTCACTGCACGTTGCTATACCCGCAATTAGGTGTTTGCACGTATTCATGTGGCCACCTTCTGGTCATATACCAACGGATTCGTGCGTTCTTTTAAGTGCACAGGGTTGTGTACTGTACACTAGGGGTTGTGACAACACGGAAAGAGTCTGCACACACTTATTCCATTAAATCACGGACCGGACATACAAATCAACATACTGTCGACATTTTGTTGTTCTGTAGTCAGTAATTCAATCTGCCATCAGTTAACACGCTGGTTATACCTGGCTTGCGACCGAGATACGACAGAAAATTGGCCTCTATCGCTATCACTCGCGAAGACTCTCAATACGGTCGCAAGTTAGTCTCAACGCGGTCTCCATGGTCTCGATCATGGTCCCTTTGATCGCAAGTACTCTCCATCGGTCACAAAGGGGTTTGCGAGTGTTTTTGACACTCGCAAAAGGTATGCGACCGATGACAGTCGCAAGAGGGTTTCAAATGCGGTCGCATTGAGATCGCACAGGTCTCAGTGCACTCTTAATTCGGTTCATTGATCGTAACAGACTCCCCATTCGGTTGCATCAATGGTCGCAAAGTTTTAGGAGCTCCTACTAATCCTGATTGAGTCGCAACTCTATCGCATACACTCGCAGCGATCGCCGATGGTCACAACGATCGCCGCCACCGGGCTCTCAATGCGGTAGCAAGTCGATCTCTAATGGCTGCAAGGGGGTTGCAACTGGGTCGTAGCACACGCATATAACTCATAAACTCTACTCCGAGGAGGTGCACTGCTGTGATTAGAGCTCGTGGCTCTACAACGAGATACTGAAGACAACGCCCCCTAGCGTAAATTGAGAGTTCGATACTGACCTGCATTAACTGTTACCTTATACCGTGCTGACCTAAGGTTCACCATGTCAAATTTCCTGGCATTATCTTTAAAAATACAAATGTAATAACCAGTTAAAATTGATATAAACATTACCAAAAAAACAGGGGTTGCGTTCCTTTTTGAGAGAGTGTATGTGAGCAAGTGCGGTCTCGTGAACTTGAGTCAAGTACGCACACACGAACACACAGCCACATATTTTCTGTGTATAAATGGTACACAGGCTTTGTGTCATGATCAGATCGATCATCGTGCTCATTACGCTCATACCAGCTGGAGCTGGAGATTGATCTTCCAGTTATTGCGGGCCACGCCTGACATACTCACGTATTCATTGTCTGGATGTACAGGTATGGTACAAGCACTCCGCTACTGCGTGATAATGCTTGTAGAGCTGCATGAGCAATCGTTACTTATTTCGTTCAATGTAGAAATCTCATCTTGACAATTTAATATATACATATGATTTTGTGCAAGAAGTCGCTTCTACAGTTAGTTCTGGTTGCTGGCGATGTAACTCGCATGTACAGCTAGTTGCATGATTATCGGGCACTATCGCCTCTACAGTTCTTTCACTGTCGGTCCAGGATCTATCTCCACATATACTTATTACCTTTTCGATGACATTATTCACCTTACATTTACTTGTCTCGAATATGTCATATTCGGCGACATCAATCTGACTGCACAAAATAACGCTCATGGTCAATGATACTACCTACCTGTACGTGAAGGGCACTCATACACCTACATGTATCTCACCTCATATGATTGTTGAAGAGACTCACCATGATGTTACTGCATATCCATGTACATATGATTGTTGAAGAGACTCACCATGATGTTACTGCATATCCATGTACATATGATTCCCGCATATCCAGTTCAACAGGCTGCCATTCTGCTTACGACAGTCGGTGAACAAGGGTCCAGTTAACAGACGATTTCTCCCAATTAACCGAATGTTTCTCAGAGTGATCACACTTTCCTTTCTAGATTGAAATCTTGAACGTAACCTTAACTAGTTAACAGAAACCAATCGTGTTGTGAGATTTAGGCAAAGTAACAACACACCAGTATATCCATGTCGCCAATTAGGCCGAAGTAACGTATGCGTAAATACGTGCATGCCACATAACTAGACGAATACGGCAATAACATTTGTTCATATATCGACGATATCGTGGAGACCATATGGCGCACCTAATAATCGATTCCGGCATAGACTGAGTGAGTGACGTTGTTGTACACACAATACACGGACGAAGAGAGTGTTACCAGCTGTCGTTTGCTGCAGTCACCTGCTTGAGAGATTCAAGGTTTTCCGTCAGTAAAGTGAATCGTTCGACCCACTGACAAACTGCTAAAGGCATTGTTCAACATAGCATGCATTCACTATCAGTAATGAACTATCTCTTTCCTGAACTATTGATTATAAAACATCAGTCATTTTTTACATTTCATTCATTCAATTTGTGTCAAATGGCCGGTATGATCTCAAAATATAATATATTTTTCCTCTATTAAGTATATTAAACTGTAACATAAAAATCATCCTACATCATGCAACTTTAGAAGGTCTACACCTTCCATTGAAGTATAAACAACGCTAAGGACCCAATCTCCAGACACATTGAAGTATAAACAAAGCTGTCGAACCAAGTCTCCTGACACACTGAAGTATAAACAGAGCTATCGATCCTAGTCTCTTGACACATTGAAGTATAAACAGAGCTATCGATCCATGTCTCCTGACACATTGAAGTATAAACAGAGCTATCGATCCTAGTCTCTTGACACATTGAAGTATAAACAAAGCTATCGATCCTAGTCACCAGACACATTGAAGTATGAACAAAGCTATCGATCCTAGTCACCTGACACATTGAAGTATAAACAAAGCTATCGATCCATGTCTCCTGACACATTGAAGTATAAACAAAGCTATTGATCCTAGCCTCTTGACACATTGAAGTATAAACAAAGCTATCGATCCTAGTCACCAGACACATTGAAGTATGAACAAAGCTATCGATCCTAGTCACCTGACACATTGAAGTATAAACAAAGCTATCGATCCTAGTCACCAGACACATTGAAGTATAAACAAAGCTATCGATCCTAGTCACCTGACACATAGAAGCATAAACAAAGCTTTCGATCCAAGTCTCTTGACACATTGAAGCATAAACAAAGCTATTGATCCCAGTCTCCTGACACATTGAAGTATAAACAAAGCTGTCGATCCATGTCTCCTGACACATTGAAGTATAAACAAAGCTATTGATCCAAGTCTCTTGACACATTGAAGTATAAACAAAGCTATCGATTCTAGTCACCTGACACATTGAAGTATAAACAAAGCTATCGATCCATGTCTCCTGACACATTGAAGTATAAACAAAGCTATTGATCCTAGTCTCTTGACACATTGAAGTATAAACAAAGCTATCGATCCTAGTCACCAGACACATTGAAGTATGAACAAAGCTATCGATCCTAGTCACCTGACACATTGAAGTATAAACAAAGCTATCGATCCTAGTCACCAGACACATTGAAGTATAAACAAAGCTATCGATCCTAGTCACCTGACACATAGAAGCATAAACAAAGCTTTCGATCCAAGTCTCTTGACACATTGAAGTATATACAAAGCTTTCGATCCAAGTCTCCTGACATACAGAAGTAAAACAAAGCTTTCGATACAAGTCTCTTGACACATTGAAGTATAAACAAAGCTATCGATCCTAGTCTCCTGACACATTGGAGTATAAACAAAGCTGTCGATCCTAGTCTCCTGACACATTGAAGTATATACAAAGCTATCGATCCATGTCTTCTGACACATTGAAGAATAGACAAAGCTGTCGATCCTAGTCTCCTGACACATTGAAGTATAGACAAAGCTATCGATCCTAGTCACCTGACACATTGAAGTATAAACAAAGCTATCGATCCTAGTCTCCCGACACATTAAAGTATAGACAAAACTATCGATCCTAGTCTCCTGACACATTGAAGTATAGACAAACCTATCGATCCTAGTCACCTGACACATTGAAGTAGAGACAAACCTATCGATCCTAGTCACCTGACACATTGAAGTATATACAAAGCTATCGATCTATGTCTTCTGACACATTGAAGTATAGACAAAGCTGTCGATCCTAGTCACCTGACACATAGAAGCATAAACAAAGCTTTCGATCCAAGTCTCTTGACACATTGAAGCATAAACAAAGCTATTGATCCCAGTCTCCTGACACATTGAAGTATATACAAAGCTTTCGATCCAAGTCTCTTGACATATTGAAGTATAAACAAAGCTGTCGATCCTAGTCACCTGACACATAGAAGCATAAACAAAGCTTTCGATCCAAGTCTCTTGACACATTGAAGTATAAACAGAGCTATCGATCCATGTCTCCTGACACATTGAAGTATAAACAGAGCTATCGATCCTAGTCTCTTGACACATTGAAGTATAAACAAAGCTATCGATCCTAGTCACCAGACACATTGAAGTATGAACAAAGCTATTGATCCTAGTCACCTGACACATAGAAGCATAAACAAAGCTTTCGATCCAAGTCTCTTGACACATTGAAGCATAAACAAAGCTATTGATCCCAGTCTCCAGACACATTGAAGTATAAACAAAGCTGTCGATCCTAGTCCCCTGACACATTGAAGTATATACAAAGCTATCGATCCATGTCTTCTGACACATTGAAGTATAGACAAAGCTGTCGATCCTAGTCTCCTGACACATTGAAGTATAAACAAAGCTTTCGATCCAAGTCTCCCGACACATTAAAGTATAGACAAAGCTGTCGATCCTAGTCACCTGACACATTGAAGTATAAACAAAGCTATCGATCCATGTCTTCTGACACATTGTAGTATAGACAAAGCTGTCGATCCTAGTCTCCTGACACATTGAAGTATAGACAAAGCTATCGATCCTAGTCACCTGACACATTGAAGTATAAACAAAGCTATCGATCCATGTCTTCTGACACATTGAAGTATAGACAAAGCTGTCGATCCTAGTCTCCTGACACATTGAAGTATAGACAAAGCTATCGATCCTAGTCACCTGACACATTGAAGTATAAACAAAGCTATCGATCCATGTTTCCAGACACATTGAAGTATAAACAAAGCTATTGATCCTAGTCTCTTGACACATTGACGTATAAACAAAGCTATCGATCCTAGTCACCAGACACATTGAAGTATGAACAAAGCTATCGATCCTAGTCACCTGACACATTGAAGTATAAACAAAGCTATCGATCCTAGTCACCAGACACATTGAAGTATAAACAAAGCTTTCGATCCTAGTCACCTGACACATAGAAGCATAAACAAAGCTTTCGATCCAAGTCTCTTGACACATTGAAGCATAAACAAAGCTATTGATCCCAGTCTCCTGACACATTGAAGTATATACAAAGCTTTCGATCCAAGTCTCCTGACATACAGAAGTAAAAACAAAGCTTTCGATACAAGTCTCTTGACACATTGAAGTATAAACAAAGCTATCGATCCTAGTCTCCTGACACATTGGAGTATAAACAAAGCTGTCGATCCTAGTCTCCTGACACATTGAAGTATATACAAAGCTATCGATCCATGTCTTCTGACACATTGAAGTATAGACAAAGCTGTCGATCCTAGTCTCCTGACACATTGAAGTATAGACAAAGCTATCGATCCTAGTCACCTGACACATTGAAGTATAAACAAAGCTTTCGATCCAAGTCTCCCGACACATTAAAGTATAGACAAAACTATCACTCCTAGTCTCCTGACACATTGAAGTATAGACAAACCTATCGATCCTAGTCACCTGACACATTGAAGTAGAGACAAACCTATCGATCCTAGTCACCTGACACATTGAAGTATATACAAAGCTATCGATCCATGTCTTCTGACACATTGAAGTATAGACAAAGCTGTCGATCCTAGTCACCTGACACATAGAAGCATAAACAAAGCTTTCGATCCAAGTCTCTTGACACATTGAAGCATAAACAAAGCTATTGATCCCAGTCTCCTGACACATTGAAGTATATACAAAGCTTTCGATCCAAGTCTCTTGACATATTGAAGTATAAACAAAGCTGTCGATCCTAGTCACCTGACACATAGAAGCATAAACAAAGCTTTCGATCCAAGTCTCTTGACACATTGAAGTATAAACAGAGCTATCGATCCATGTCTCCTGACACATTGAAGTATAAACAGAGCTATCGATCCTAGTCTCTTGACACATTGAAGTATAAACAAAGCTATCGATCCTAGTCACCAGACACATTGAAGTATGAACAAGGCTATTGATCCTAGTCACCTGACACATAGAAGCATAAACAAAGCTTTCGATCCAAGTCTCTTGACACATTGAAGCATAAACAAAGCTATTGATCCATGTCTCCTGACACATTGAAGTATAGACAAACCTATCGATCCTAGTCACCTGACACATTGAAGTATAGACAAACCTATCGATCCTAGTCTCCTGACACACTGAAGTATAAACAGAGCTATCGATCCTAGTCACCAGACACATTGAAGTATAAACAGAGCTATCGATCCTAGTCACCTGACACATAGAAGCATAAACAGAGCTATCGATCCTAGTCTCTTGACACATTGAAGTATAAACAAAGCTATCGATCCTAGTCACCAGACACATTGAAGTATGAACAAAGCTATCGATCCTAGTCACCTGACACATTGAAGTATAAACAAAGCTATCGATCCATGTCTCCTGACACATTGAAGTATAAACAAAGCTATTGATCCTAGCCTCTTGACACATTGAAGTATAAACAAAGCTATCGATCCTAGTCACCAGACACATTGAAGTCAATGACACACATTATGAACAAAGCTATCGATCCTAGTCACCTGACACATTGAAGTATAAACAAAGCTATCGATCCTAGTCACCAGACACATTGAAGTATAAACAAAGCTATCGATCCTAGTCACCTGACACATAGAAGCATAAACAAAGCTTTCGATCCAACTCTCTTGACACATTGAAGCATAAACAAAGCTATTGATCCCAGTCTCCTGACACATTGAAGTATAAACAAAGCTGTCGATCCATGTCTCCTGACACATTGAAGTATAAACAA